TAACAGTTAAAAAACACTAGTTTTTTGTTGAACGTATTCATAAATCAAACTGCTTTCAGTGGAAGATATTTCTAACACTCAGAGAATTGTACTGTGACAACTTTTCTGAAGTTGAAAGCTTCTATCTGTGTCAAGTGTCGATGCCTGTCTGCCTAGAAGTACTTTTCACTTCGGATCCTCACGAGACTCATGCACTTCGCGTTCAAGTGTACGATTCGTAGCAGCAAATAACGAATAAATGTCACATTGGATAGATCCACGATCTATCTCACCGGTAATTCCACCGAAATGCTCGGTTGTTCCAGGTGTCTTTTTTTTTATCGCCGCAAAGAATTATCCTACTTCCTCTTGGATGTAATTACATTGACGTCAGACATTGTTCTCACGGTGGCCATCGCGTGCATGGAGCGATTCAAGATTTACTTAGGAGTTTCACGGTGGTATACGATGTCCATCGTCGACGACGGTCGAACGATAACTGTCAAAGTCGAGCTGTGTCCGGCTGGTCACGTTCTCAAACCACATACGTGTTTTTGCTTGTATCAGATATTCTTCAAGGATTATTGTTCCATCGGCCACTGCTTCTGTGACATTCTTGTGGCCCTTACCATTCATAATAATCTTCGTTGATGAATTTTTATGCAACAATCTTGTCAGTTTCTTTTTAGCGCCAGAAAGATGTGTGTGTGTGTGGGCCGGTTAGTTTTTTAAAATAATTTTACGCACAAAAAGAGTAAGAAATGTTTATTTTGTATTTTGAAATTTATAGAAAATAATTGATTTTTCAGAAATTAGTGTATATATAATAAAGTACTTTGTCATAATGTATTTTGAATGAAAAGTTATATTTGTGAAATTAAATGAAATAGAATAAACAATGATTGAATGGGAAGAGTTCAAAGTATAATAACCATTATGATATTAAAAATGGTAGAATCTATTTAAGTATCCTATTAAAGAATGTTCAAAAGAATAAAAAGATTAATGAAAAAATGTGTAAATATAAAAAGATAGACGAATGTAGTTTAGAATCAGAGAATCTAATATGTATTAAGCAATTTGTATGTAATTTAATTTTATTGTATTTTTATTAGTATAATAATTTTAAGTATTGTAAAAATCAAGCCCATTTATACATTACATTTTTATTCATACAATACGTTCTTAAAATTGTAGCCAATGGTTCTTAAAAATTCAATTATATTAAAATAATAAATATTTTGAAGTATTTTTTGTCTATATAAATTTAGGCCCGTTTGAAATTACTGCTTGATACACATAAAATACTGTACTATATTTTAAAAAATAAACACTAAACCAAAATTTATGTTTCCATATTGCTAGGTATTAAAATTCCAGTGAAACATGTCTAAAACCATTATGATAACGTTTTATTTATGGGCACGATAAAATCAACAAAGTTAAATCGATATGTACAAATAATGAATCAGTTTTAATTTCAGCGAGTGTTTTAAAGAATTGCTTTGTATTAGCAGCCATTAAAATAGACTGGCCTGTTTTTAAGCTGCTAGACAGGTTTAACGATGATCGCGGAGATAATAATTCTGTGCTTGTGGTACCCTCTAAATTTATCTTGGGTAATTAATGCTTTTCGTGTAATGTAAACTTTGAAAATCATGCATTGATCGCCTTACGTGCTTAATCTGAAATTTTTAGCCAAAACATGTAATTAATATTATGAATGATAGAAATGCATAGAATGCAGTTTTAACGAAACTAAACGAACTCTTTAAAGATAAAAGAATATTACTGTCTTTCATAAAGACAATCGTTAATGGAAGCGTACAGAAAAATTAAATCTTATAAGTGCAATAATTGCAGAAGAAACAACTTTATTTATAATATTGTAGGAATCATATTTCAAAAAGTAAAATATCTGTAGTATCTAAGTTTTAAGAAAAATTCTACATGATCGAAATAAGAAGATTAAAATTAAGCTTTCAAATTTCGATGAGTCGAAATAAAGAAAATAAAATGGGTTAAATCAATTTTCATGTTGGACACGAAAATATTGTTCGGAAACAAAGATTCTTTAAAATATTACAAATCTATTCACAAAACATTAGATTATATATTATAATCTTCAGTGTAACCATAATCAAATTATTTGTTTAAAATTTTATGATTTTACCAACATAGAGACATTAGTCTTCAGAAGGTTAACAATGAATTAGAACTACAAATTAAAAGTGAAATGTATCTGCCATGTTTAATAACACGAAAGACAATCTTACCCAAAGTAATGTGCTGTCTCCAAACCACACACATTTCGCGCCAATGTAATTAATTAATCTTTTAACTGTGGAATTTAATTTCAATAATCTCTCGTACACACAATAAAATTAAATAATGAAGTGTATATCCATCAAGCGCAAGGCGAATGCACTTATCATACACTCTAGCAAAAACTAAATCAAAACGAAGAATTACATGTTTATCTAAAAAATAAATAATTGATCGTTAAAACATCATTTTTATTTTACGTTGCAAAATGACGAGTATACTCAACACAGTTAACTGGTTAATCGATTCAGTATCAATCTTAATTGTTAATACTGAACGTACCATGATCGGTCCAATGAACGGTTTTAAAATTTAATTATAAATTCTTGTATTCTCTGATTAATCGGGTTTTCAACTTTTGTCTTTTTCTTTGTCTGCGTTTTCACTCTGAAAAATTGATCGTTTAATTTATCTTTATTTTATAACCAATTATTTGACTAGTTACAGTAGGAATAGGTATATATAAAGTATCGGTACGTTTATTGTTAACCAATTAACTGTGTTTGACGAGCACACATATCATCTTAAAATCAAAATGACACTACTTCTTTCAACGATAAATTATTTATTTTTTTCAGATAAAGATGTAATTCATTTTTTGATTTCATTGCATGCAGAATGAGAGATTTTTGAAACTAAATTCCACAGTAAATACGTTAACATTAAAACTACTGAGCAATTAAATTGGCTTTTTGAAATTCCTCTGTAGAAACTGCAAGTGCAAGTGCATCTATTGAGACTCATTGATTTACAAATCAGTTTAAGTATTGTTACACCAATTTATTTATTTATTATCTTTTTATTAATTGCGAAAAGAAGAAATCAGGAATGGGTAATTTTGATCCGTCCAATAGTTCTAGTGTTAAGAAACTCCACGCGAAGGTGCTCGGACACAAATAAGGATACCGAGCAGCCAACAATTGACTCCAATTCTATTTCTGATTCCGTTCAAATTAGAGGCCGGTCTTTGTTTGGATTTCCAGTTGCAACCCCGAGCTTCTGCGAGTTGCTAATATCTCGTAAATCGTCGAACAAGATACGTACGTACGGGCAGTAGTATCCCTGTCGATCGAGTCAACGACGAGTTCGCAGAATCAACCGGTGAAACTGACAATTCGCGGAAAGGTATTTGTATCAAAGTTCAAGACTCCAGTTCCTTTCGTCACGGGAGTTACTATATTTGCCGTTTAACTCACTCCTACGTCATATCGAAAGCGATAATAGAAAAATTTCTCCAATGTTACGTCACACCAGCGATATCTGTTAAAGGCATTTTTGTTGCAGGTGAGCAGGGAAGTTTGCCGATTCCACGAACTCATCGATTTTCCCAGACATTTCTTGAAAATATTCATTGCGCCTGTGTGTTTGCATTCCGGAAATTTTCAAAGCGCAATGGACAATCGTTTTGTGAACGATTCACAAATTCTCGAATTAGCTACATTCTTGAAACACGTTCGGGAATAGAACTATGTATAACGACTCACTGAATGTTCCGCACCGTTATAAAATCGTACATTTACATGATTAGCCTGTGGGCGTTTATGCGTTTGCGTTGGAGACAATGGAGCAATGGTCAATGAAATTCATTTGTACTAGATTTAATGAGACTTCCTACTTTGAGATCATTATCAAAAAACGACATTATCAGTGGAAATCTTATTATTATAAGTTAATCAATAATTTGTTTAATATGTTATTAAAAGTTAAGGTACAGTTTCGTTTTGTTAGATCAGGGTATAAAGATTCATAAAATTTATGAGAAAGATGTAAAACCAGCTATAAAATAAGAAGTGTCATCTTGAATATTCTTAAAAAGTTATGCATTGTTATGGCTGTTATAAAAATATAAAATAACATAATGCAAAAAGTAAAATTCCTGATGTCTATACAACAATAATTAAGTTTTAAATTAGAGATCAAATTTTAAAAAGCTGATTTCTTCAACCTTAGAAATGAAAAATGATATTAGATATGTTACACATAAATGATGTTCAATTATATGCAGATATGAATATTATAGAGTGTAACATAATATAATCAAATTTTATATAGACTATTATAAAAAACTAATTTTGCACGAAAGTTCTTACTTCTGTACGACTACTATTTATTTTGTAAATTACTTTTCGTTTATTTATTATAAAAGTAATCCATTTATAGAAGAAACGCTTTATGATATTTATAATGAAGATATATAAAATTCAAGTAAATGGAAATCTAATTAAAAACTTATTAATCTAAATATTTATTTCACGAAATCCTGTATACTATATGTACAATAATATATAATAACTTACAGAAGTTACTAATAAATTAACTTACAAAATAACTTATATCATATAAAATAGCTTACAACAAAATTAAAATTTATACAAAAATTCAAATTCTAATCATAATATCTATGATAAGTCTCACTATATCATATTTCACAATTAAAACAATGTTATAAGTATCTAAAACCCGGAATCTTATAATATCTACATTACTTCAATACTATATTCTTACGATCATTACATACATACCTACTTTACACACATATAATTTCCTTCAAAACGTCGTCGAAACCAATTCAATGAAAAAAGACCAGCAATTACGAGTCCTGCCCACTGAATCCCTGACGATGTGTGCATCTTGCGAGAAATCGTGCACCGATAGATAAAGGCACTCGTGCCACGAAGACTCCAGTCAGTATGTCCCGGAACGTCGATCGGTGAACCACGTGAATTTCTTTCAGACTCCTCCTCCTTTACGACGTGCTGGCGCGTCTGATCGGCTTTCAGACAGTGTAGCCAAACTCGTATCCTTGGAGAACCTGTTCGAAAGAATTCCTTCGCGCGCGAAAATCTTCCCACAAAAGTCGTTTTTTATCTTTGAAACCGGTGATCGTGAACGTTCAAAGTTTGCCCCAAATTCTGTGATAATAAGCGCCAACGGAATCTTGATTCACGGGTATAGTGTTAATCTTGACAGTGTCGAAAGTCTACAGAAACTGAATTGATTAAGTTCAATTGGGATATCAACTTGAGACAAGCATAATTAAATTTGCAAGAATAAGTAAGTAACAATGAACGATTTGGTAAATCATTTTTTATTAGAGATACGAGTTGATTATGTTACTGTTTCATGATGATTTCATAATGGTCCCGTGCCTCTGAATATTATAGTGTTCTTTTTTTTATATAGTTGGGTTTATTTTAAAGTGGTTACATTAACAGTAAAGCCATTAGTGACCACCAACATTTGGACACATTACTTATTACTTATCACAGTACTTTTTAATAGTACTTAATACATAATACAAGATCTTCGGGATAGACATAATGTAGTTATAATGAACTCTAGAGATTAAGTCTTATACAAAAATGCGAATGTGGTACAATCGACTATCAAATACAATGGTCCACGAAAGTATTTGAAATATGTTATACGATGGAGATAGGTAGAGAGTGTACAGGATAATAGATAGTTTGAAATTTTTGTGTGTATGATTGAAATCGAATAATATATGTTTGAGGTAGAATGATTTTATTGAGTTAATTTCTTCCACATTTTAAATTGTGTCGTGAGCCATTGTAGATTACTTGCAAGTTTCATCGACGAAATAGCGGGAATTGTAGGTGAACGACCATTCATTCATTCGTCGTGGTCACCGTCACTTCGAGATGACATTAATTATTTTTCATACTTCCATTATCAATCCACCCGCATTCAATACTGATGACTCGATCTACGATGAGCCTTATCGATTTAGTAATAGTTCACTGCGGTGGATTAATCTTGAGTATTGTAAAACTGCTTACTTCACCGGGATTATTTTGTTTTATATTAGGTTAGCTGTAACTTCAAAATTTAAGATAATTTTTATGTAAGGGAACTTGGAATTTTTAATTAGAAACATACGAGCGAATCCAACTTTGATATAATATTTAAAATTAATATGTACGATTGTAGAATTATAAGATTGTAATTAGAAGATTACAATTGTAAGATCATAAAATAAAATCAGAAGATTATAATTAGAAAATTATAAAACAAAGGTAGAAGATTACAATTAGTAATCTATATTTAATTGAAATTATCGTTTTAGACTTATTTTTTTTTAAATAACTTTAAATGAGGAACTCCCGCAACCAAAATTATTCAAAATTCATGAGTTAAAGGAAACGACAATAGGACTTTATTACATGCTCAAATAAAGGCTAATAAAAGCTACTAAAAACAAGAAATATCAAATTTCACTATTTCTTATTAAATACAAGAAACTATCTGAAGTATTTTAGTTTTAGTGTATAATAGTAATAAATACTTTACTCTATCTTTAATAACGAAAGAGCATAGAGCAATTAACAGTGATATAATTCTTCAATCATTCATTTGGAATAATAGTGCAGAAATATAAATATCATTAAATATATTAAAATAAATGAACTACTTCATCTTTTTTGAAACAGAAATAGTGGGTTAGTAAATAAATGGAAAAGAAATGAAAATTCTAGCGAAACAGCAAATACTTTATAAATTTTACTTATTTATTTAACTTATATCAATAATTGACAAAATTAGTCATGATCAGATTGCGAATTTTTAAGTATTTATAGGACATTTGAAAAATGCAAAATTGCACAAAGTATACAGGATTTGGAAAAATATACAAAATATTCGAAGTGTAATGTTTTTCATAATAATTATTAGAAAAAACGTTTTTCTATCATAACTCTATCTTTCTAATTATATCCTTGAACATTTTAATTTACATAAAGATCCACAGTATAATCATAATGTTCGATTCATCCATAAAATAATGGAACTGTTATACGTTTCAGGCTTCAGAAAGTGGAAACTTTGTTTTCCTTGTAGAAGAAGGAAACGGAAAGAGCCGCCCTACCAAATAATACTAACTCATTGAAAAGATTACGAAAGAGGAAGAATGTATTTTATTATCAATCTTCACGCTTAGCTGGCAGATTACCATTATCTCACTCATCATTCGGTCTTTAATCGATAGCGTGCAAATAATCAGTGAAGAATTTGTGGATTGATAGGGCTCCTCCGAGGTTTCAAGGAAATATCTCTATTAATACGTCGAATCTCAACTTCTCGATTATAACGGTCCGAGCGATACTGGAAACGTAACCAATTGTGGCAACGTGTGTACACCGATCAAATAAACTCCATTAGACCCGGAAGAGTTTACCATAAATTTAGAACGGTCGATTTTACTTACACATCGGACGAGAAACACAAATTTCAACTACAAAGAATCAAATCAAACGAAAAGAAATATGGAGGAAAGATTATGATAAACGGAAGATGTTGCTAACGCATTGGAAGTTCCAAATGTTCTCTTTATACGTGTTCCTCGATACTTGATGCTTGAACCACCAATCTTTATCGACAAGGAAAGACAGCGCATAAACTGATCGAATTATAATAATTGTGGAATTCGTCGGAAACCTTCGGAAAACATTGTGAAAGTTTTATGGTGGAATTTGCGGATCCTACAAAAAGATTTCAAGGAAAGATGCCTGGAAATTCGAAATGGTTATTAATGTTGCTGCTGATTCTTCTCTGCGCCTTAGACGTTTGCTACGGTCGCATGAACGACGAAACGCCAACGATATATTCGATTTTCTTGGTAAGCATTCGTGTGTTACGTGTGTATTTAAATGATTGCGTGGAATTAACAAACCGCAGTGAAGAGACTCTTTTAACCAGTTAACTGTGAAATTCAATTTGAAAGATCTCTCATTGTGCGCGCGATAAAAGCTAATAATAAAGTGTATAGTCATCAAACCCAAGACAAATGCTGTAATATGTTCTAACAGAAAACTACAGTGAAATGAAGAAGAATTACATGTTTATCTGAAAAAATAAAGAATTGATCGTTGAAAAAGTTAGTACCGTTTTGCATTTTGGGATAACGTGAACACTCATCGAATGCAATTAACTGGTTAATGTTATGCAAATTAATTCTGGAATATGCAAAGTTGACGTTTAGAAGTATTGAAAAATAGATTTTGGAAATTTGTTTTTGTCCGGAATCAGTGAAATTTTTCGGTAACACTTATACTATAATTTGCAGTATCTTGTTTTGTATGATATAGAATACTAACAGAGCCGAGAGCTTCGTCTGAAGAAAGTGAAATTACATATTCATGGGATTTGGAAATGATAGTAAAACTCAAATTTGTGATGTATTTGTGTGTAGTACGTCAAATCATGCGTGCCAGTGGTTTTCAACTTTGGATCCATGTATCTTCAGGGTCGCCGCGCTAAGTATTAGTGTAATGAAAAAAGAGATATGTTTGCGAGAAAAATGGAGCAACATATGAACTTTTTGATAAACTACTTTTGTTCCTGTTACTGTTTGCAATGAAGCTGGTGAAAAAGGCTTTTCTTATGTCTTAGTAACAAATAAATATTTGTCCTAGAAAGTTGAATGAATTGGATTAAAAGAAACACCTTCTGAAACAAATTCGAGGATCGTATTAAACATTTGTTATGTGTTTTATAAATATGAAGAAGTATTAAAGATTTTAATTATTAATAAGTTAAACGTAATTTAAATTTTCGGTTTATCTAAGATTTAATTTGAGCTCATAGTACATTTGTAATTTTTGAGTGTTCATATTTTTTATTTTTCATCCCATTATTGATATAATTTTTCAGTTCCAACATATAAATGTCAAAAGATAACAAGTATATTATTTATAAATATTTTGTTAATATTATAATAGAATTTAGGTTGGAAACCACTAATCTACGTATTCATTTGGTATAATATTTATAGGCTTGTATTCTTATAAAATATTTGCAATGTCTCTTATTGAATTTGAATTTTCAATGTACAAATTACCATTAAAAAATAAATGAATGTATCATTGCAAGTAATTATGAAAATGTGGTTCAAAGAGAAATACAAAGAATATCAAGTTACCTGTTTTTGATTGATAGTCATTATTTCGAAGAAACATCTGCATATATGCGTGTCAAACACGTTAATAGTTGCATGCCTATTTATAGTCATTTTGGTATTTACTGTAATCCTACTAACGTAGAAATACAGAAACAATTGTTACTGTAGTCTATGATTCGTTGAGTTTTGCTTTAAGGTACTAACTTTACTCATTCATATTATTTAAAACTTGTGACTAAACTGCAGTTATTTACGCACATATAAATTATTTTATAGAATAAGCATTACCTACAAACTTATTTCGTGCGTCAACAGTTTAGAAATATCAAAAATGAACAAAAATCTCATTAAATTTTCAATAAACCTATTCACTTCGGAAACTCGTAAACACGAAAAGTATATCAAATCTGTAATTTAATTGCGATGACGGAAGATTTATTAAATAAATATAACATTAAGATACAGTGTGAAATGTTCATATTCTGTTTTTAATGTTGTTTCTTAAAGCATTCTGTATATTCGAAAAAGATCGCTTGTTTAAAGTGAAAGTATATTTCATATATTATTCAAGGATTCGTTGTCGCGTATTCACTTAACACCAGTTGAAAGCACAATCTATCATGATAGTTCATATTTTTTATAGGAGTTCTTGTTAAGGAAAAGCTGAAATTATTTACAACATTAAATTTAGATATAAACCCTATTTACTTCAGTACATATTTGCTTTTAAAAATTGATAGTAACTTGTTCTCTGTACGATTTAGTATTTTTACAAATAACTGTTGGATGCATTAATGTAGAATGCATTCATCTTGGCATATACAACGTTTTGAATAGTTGAATAAAATTATAAATTAAGTACTTTTTTACGTTGCTCCGAACGTAAATCATACATCACTCAAAGAATTTATTAAAACTAAGGAGAGATATTTCAAAGAAAGCAAATTGTTTGAAAATGACTTGATCGATTTTATTTAATTTTTACAAATTTATTTTGTTATAAGATTGTTATGTCTTTTACAGTTTTATTACATTTTTACGCATTTCATGAATAAAACTAACAATTGAAAATAAATAAATTATTTTTTGTTATTATTTTACAGCAAAATAAAACCGTAATACCAGAAAAATACAAAAATCTACCATTAGTCGGAAAATGTTGTCCGAATGGTGAAGTTTTCGTGAAAAATGGTACCCGTCCTGCCATCTGTGGCGTCCCCGACTCCATGATGGAGAACAATTTCTCTCCTCTCTTTAGTAAATTCAATAACACTGGCTTTGAACTACCCGGTGACAAATATAGTGCATTCGTTGCGATCATTGGAATTCCTTGTAAATACAGGAGGTGAGTATTGACTTTTAACATTACGTATCTACATAGTATAAAGATTTATTACGAATGTGCTTATGCAAAGTTCGACCTTTCAAATCAAATTTATAAAAACGAAAAATTTTTTTCTTTTAACAGAAATTATGAAATAAATTTAAATAAATGTATAAAATTCACATTTTCATGAAAAATTTTCATTTTTAATGATTTAAATACATAATAATTATAGAGTTAACGCAGTAATAATGGCATTGTATATCTATACGGGGATATATTATTGAAATACGACCTTTTAGTTTGTAAATTCAGATGTAAATTTTTCTGTAGACTACTAAAAAAATTTCATTAAACACATTTTTACAAAAATAATTGGAAAACACATTTTTTAATTTCTTCGATTTTCTTTTGAATATAAAAAAATGAATTGATGAATGTGATATATTCGATGTTATATACAATTCAACGAAAGAAATTTATTCAACATTCTACACTCAGAATGCATGAATAATTCAATTTCCGTTTATCTACCATCTATTCACTATACCGCAGCGTTGCTTCAATGATAATAATCACTGTTTACTAATTCGAATGTAAATTACAAGCATCCACTTCAAATTACATTAACTGTTAAGTTTTTCTTAGTGTTTTTAGTATTATAATACCATTTATTCTAACGACAAACAATGAAATTACCGTGCATACGATCACGAATGTTATTGTCGATATATCACTCGATTCAATGAAATTTAATTGTATTGAAGAAACAATTACACCTTTAATAAGTAATATTTGTCAATATTTAATTTATATCATATTTTTAAATTATTTGCATTTAAAAAAAAGCATACGAATTTTTAATGTGTTTCTTGTGCAATATCATATATATTTTTAAATAAAAAAAAGTTCTGTCTTAAAATATACAAAATAAATTTCATACAAAATATTATTTTAATAGCAGATTCATGCATTTATAATTTTTAAACGAGTACATTAAATGTTTTTATCATAAAGGGGTGAAAAAATATTTTTCGTAATTATAATCAACAGCTTAATTGTTATATAATATTAAAAGTTAAGTACACTACACAAATTAAATAATATAAATATAAAATTACGAAAACTCACATTACTGTTTTAACATGCACATATTTTCCATTATTTATAAAATATACGATAATTGAAAGAAGTAAATGACGTTTTAAAATGTTAGTACTTCAAAAATGATTTCTATATCCTAAAGAATAAAAAAATTACACATTTCTTATAAACAGTAAAAGATACAATAAAATCAACTAATTTTAAATTACTTGACAATACAGAGTTCCGTGATGAAACAAAGAAAATTCCACGCTAAACGAATTTTCCTGTTTACTAAAAATAGTCTAAAGAGGAAGCGTAAACGCGTCACAGAATATTTCCAGAAACTCAACAATTGTAATTTTTATCACTTTATTACAATTAAACGCTTTTTCTAGGTACGTGTTGTATCCGGAAGATAACAAAGATGACGAAAACTCTTTATTACTAAACGGATCTGTGTTTGTGCAACACAATCATCCGAATATGTTACAGCCTGGCGTCGATTATTGCATGGAACTTATTCCAAATCTCGGATTGAAAACAATTGTATGCGCTCCAGAAGGTGAGAACGCAATATTTTCAGCATAAACTATTATTTCATTAATTCCCACGCTAATATTAACAATAATATTTTCAGAAAAGTTAATAATGACTGCAGATTCCCGATTTACCATTTACGCGTGCGGCCTTCTAATATCAGTGCCATTTTTAATTCTTACTATTGTCGCGTACTCTATCACTCCAAAATTAAAGGATATCTATGGAAAAGCACTGTGCCGCTACTGTGGTTGTTTGGCGTTGGCTTTCTTCACGTTGGCGATAACGCAACTAGGAAGTAGACATTTATCGGATCAGGCTTGCACCAGTATAGGTAAGAATGTCATAAAGCACATCTTCGATACAACATTCAGTTTCTTAAATGAAAGGAATTACTCGAACACGGTGACTTCCATTGAATCTTTTTATGAGTCATATTAAATTTACCGTTACATTATCTTTTATTTCACTGCGGTCATTGTTATCGTGAACGTCGTATATTCGTATTTTCTGTCATCATAGTTTAGTATCATTCTATTTATTTATACATTTATAGCATCTCCCGATCTAACACAGTAAAATGAAGATTTCAATATATTGTAGTTTAACAATACATATTTTATCATTAATAGACTGCGAATATTTAAGTATTTATAGGAAATTTGAGAGTGAAAAATTGCTCAAAATGCACAAGATACGAAAAAATATATAAAACATTCAAGGTTTAATGCTTTTTATGGTATTTACTAGGGAAAACTATTTTCTGTCGTAATTCTATTTTTCTAATTATAATCTTGAGAATTTGAATTTGCGTAAAAATCCGCAGTCTAATAATTTAAAAAAAACATAATAACATTTACAGTATACGAAATAAACTTTGTTAATTCATCTTTCCAATTATAATAAAGGACATATACCTGTAAAAAACCTTATAAGAATTGAAAGTTTTGAAAACACACGAAAGACCTAAGGACATTTCTATTACCCGTTTGCTGGAAACATAAATCATTGTTATTACAAAATTGATTCAATAACGTGATTTAAACAAACGATGACTTTTTAAAATATGTTTCACAACGTTGAGAAAAGAATCATTTTTAATAGAAACAGGAAGGAAACAACAAAACTAAAATATGGTGTCCAAGATAATGAATTATATAAATTAATATTCATTTTATGAATCGTCAAACTCCGCTGTTTGATTAATCAACAGAAAGGGTAAACAAATTGAAAGGATTATATGTTACATATGATGATCAATTATCAGTATCTCTATTGATAAAATTAGAGTGTTTTCTTATTTATAGTATTTCTCTCTATCTTCCACAAACTACGTTCCTGGATTGGTTATCACTATTACCTACATTTTTTTCACCGACTATCTTCCGGCTTGTAATCTTTTGATGTTCTAGTACAGTCTATTGTAGGAGACGCAATCTGATACGCTTTCTGTGCTTTTCAAGATTTATGATCAAGTTTCATAAACTATTTTCATGTATAGGTACTTCTTTATGTATGTAAAGAATTTTATAGATTTTTAATAGTCATACTAATGTCATTTAAAATATTCGCGATAATTTTCAAAAGGTCTAACCAGCGTTCTAACGGTTCAAAAGGTCTAACTTTTATTAAACGTCCATGTCATTTTTTATTTTAAGTGTTACGCTATAATCCATTTAGCTTTACAGGCTACGTGAATCATTGAACGCAAATCTCTTACGTAATACTAAATTAATGTGATTTTTATCTATTTGTGATGATACCAATCAATCATTTCATACCCTTTCATCTATGATTATTCTAACGAACATGTAACAGTCGCACGAATGTCAGTAGATTTTCTTAAATCTACAATTTAGTTTCCTCTCATTCAATTTCTTCTTTCGTTTCTCGTATCACTAAGATTTGTAACATTCCTTATAGATTTCATGATCATATTTGATTGATTTGACTGATGATGAAAAACATAAGACTTCCATTCTGTTTTTAACGATCATCAACAATTTTTAACAGATAATTCTAAATACATTATAAGCATACCATATTAATTATATAATCACTGTAGTAATAAAATGTGAACACGAAAGATGTAGCTGCTTGTGTAACAATTTGACGATGGCCGTGCAATCATTATTTATTAATTATACAGAAGGTCACTAAGAAATCTTCTCTTTGCATTAAGTTTCGTCTTTTTACCAGATACACCATGATCAGTGGAATATAATACCTACTATGACGTAATGAATTCCTTTCGAGAAAATGTCAATACTCATTTGGGAGCAATTAAAGAACCAATTGACTTTTTCAGCGTTCGTAATCCAGTTCTCCTTCGTCGCCTGCTTCTTTTGGCTAAATGTGATGTGCATCGAAATGTGGTCGTTGGTACGTAGCCACGTGGACCGCGAAACATACAAGAGGATGAAGCCAAAAACATTATTCTTTTGGTACTCTTTATGGTGTTGGGGTCCCTCGGTGATACTTATTCTCGTCTCGATGATCATGGATCTAAGCCCAACGATACCTGCCAGTTATGTGAAACCACACTTCGGCAAGGAAAGTTGCTGGTTTAGATGTAAGTTAAACTGATTTTTTTAAATGTAATTCGTCCTTAATAAATTCAGCTTCAACAAATAAGGAATAGAAAAATAGATTTTATGTACCTACTTCTTTTAAAATACAGTAGACGATGAAATTTCAAAAAGACATGTTTCCATATTGACAATTGTGTAGGAAATTTTCTTGAATTTCTGCAGTTATTTAATTTTTCCTGAAATTTATATGCACAATGCATGTTTGACAATATATCTGCTAATGTACGATACACTTTTGAAAAAATCATTTCAATGTATTTTCCAACAATTGGCGTGCATTCTTCTTTAAATAATTTAATTTGTTGAATTTTATCCGTCCCTTATTGTGGAATAGTGCTGCATCTACGCAACCGCTGGCTAAGCATAGAACTTTTAAGAAGCCACTAGTACTAACACTACAAGAACGTGTTATACCATTATTAATATTTATAAATGCGAATACAAGCAAACGATTAGTTATCTAGAAATTCTTTGCATCGAGATATAGTCAAGTGCAGGCTCCAGGTTCTTCAAACTCGATTCTTCACAACTGTTTCTTTTTTCAATTGTAACAATTCCAGTAATAAATTTATATATTTTTCTCATATGTATAATTTATACAATTCTAAGTGTAAGAACAGATCAGGTAAATGACGTATTGACAAGGGATAGGCTTACATTATTATTAACTCTAACGATTATCCTTGAACTTCAAACTTTTTGTTGTTATATTCTAAGTAGTAGTTACGTCTGCAGCAGACACTATTTCTAATTGAATCTGATAATTATTATATACATATCCCATCAGTTTTAAAAGACAGCTAATACACACGAATCAACTAACTCCCGAGAATTTAAACAATTCAGCGAAATCTATACCAATATCAAACCTTCCAACCGATGCGAGAAAAGAAGTTATTATTCATTCTCGCAAAAGTCACTAATCCTTCCGTTTACCTTCTAGCCAGCAACGAAGCAATGCCATACTTTTACGCGCCGGTCGGCTTGCTGCTTCTCGGAAACGTGACTCTCTTTATTCTGACGTTCATCAAGATATCGAACTATCAGAAGGATCTCGACTTGAGGCGTTTGGCAAGGAATCAGGAATCGGATCGTCAGGATCGTAGACTCCTCCGGCGGCTTATCAGGACAACTATTGTCGGTTTGATCATCTTCTTCCTAATGGGTCTTAACTGGACGATGGAACTGATATCCTGGTTCGTCGGCGGAAACTCGTTCGACTGGACCATGTTCGATCTGGTGAACGCTCTTCAGGGTGTCATCGTATTCGGTTTGTTCGTGTTACGGAGACCGCACAGGGACTTCGTCTGGCACAGGATACAACAGCTTCGCGGAATAGACGTGACACCACCGGAAGCCGGTAGCATGGAATTATATCTGCTTCCGATAATGAACGGTGACACGGTGTCTGGGCAAACTATCATCCCATGAATAGAATTTCGATCGTTACCCAGTGCGTACGACGGTCGTTGTGACTCTACTGCCTGAAATGACTGTGTTACAAGTTCCTTCGAAGAGACATTTTAGTTAGTGTATTTTTGTTTCTTTACCAGCAAAGAAACATCGAAAATAGAGATTGGACGAGAATAAGAGTTTCGTTCAAATTTTGCTGATCATTTACGAAAGTCACGTAAGTTATTTCATAGCACTAGTCAAGTGCAACGAGTTAGGAAAATATTTGCATTTTTGAATCGAATCGAAGAACAATTTGAACATAACGTGTATATAAATGATGTGTTAAGTTATTTGAACTGTATCGTTTGAATGTTTTCTTTAATTATTGCGCGTGAATGTTAGTATAAATATTTATAATTTATTGTACAAAAAGGGAAACATCGTCATCGTTTATTAAAAATATTGTAAAAAATTATCATAAATAGATTATTCCTTTTGTAAGACAGTTGAAAGTTATGTCACTCAAACGGAAACTCGATATTTAATTTATGATTTCACTTTTTAACGGAACATAATTGCACCTGCACAGTGTTGTTTGTAATTATACCCGGTGCTTTATGTGTAGATTTTATATGAATAACAGAAAAACTTGCAAGTGAGGTTTTCAGAGATTGTAAAAATAATCTTCCGCTAAAACTTTGTTGTTTCACATACTTCAATCTACTTTTCCATATCAAAACAAAGATATACTGGACGTGAAATCTAAAACAACGTCTGGAATAAAATAAAGTGAAGTTATTTTATAGCCACGTTCGTATTTTCGGTCGAAAACAACGTGTTTCTGAGGAACGTGGATTATATAAAAACGTCTGCAACTTGTTTTACAATGGTATGTGCAAGTTGTGATATTCCTATGCTCATTGCATAACTATGAGAAACAAGATTGGTTACAGTATGACTTTACATTGAACGTTCACGGTTTCGAAAGCCTACACAACAACGTTAAAGTACCGTTTCAGATTTCAAGATAAATAATAATAGATTTCCGCATGGCTTGACAAAAGATCAAACACTAATGGTAAAAATACATAGTATTACTAGTTTCACTCATCATTCGTAATTTACATACCAACACGAATTTTTTGCAAAATACTGCAGTATTTGAATTAAACGTGGTAAAATTAACTTACTGAACATGACTTTTACTGAACAATAAGTATGTTAAACCTGCATACTGCACACTGTACCAGGTGTTCAGAATGAGTTACCTAATACAAGAGTATAAAATGATCTTAAAACCCTGAAAAATACAACCTTAAACAAAAAATTTTCATCATGACGTTAATTCGTGTGTATCTAATATTTTATTCCTTAAAAATACTTTTATATTGTGGAAAATATTAAATACTTTAAGACCTAATCTTAGATGATAAACTTTGTACAGTAATATAATTAGATATTATTTATTTTATATTTTATTTTACGGTTACACAGATTATGCATCTTATATTTTGTAATGATAGTACCAAAAAAATTTATATACAAATTACAGTTTATTGTAAAGTTTTTAAGTTATTCATTTAGACTTAATTTATCAAATAAACGTTTTCTTTTAAATGTTATTCATTTTCGTTTGTAAATAGTTTTACATGGGATAAAATAATCTGTTTAGACAAGTTAACAAGTAAAAAATATTATTTTTTATTTGCATCCCCATCTATGCTATAGTGTACATTTGTTCATTTTCATGCGTTTCTACGCACTATAGAAATAAAATACATAGGTTTGTATAATTAAACCATTGTAGCAATTTCTGCAACCTAGTCAAAAAATGTTTAAACTCGTATTAAATTATTGTTTGCGATTGCACTCGAATATTAACCCTAAATAACTAAACTTAAATCAGAGATACTCTATAACTAAACGTCCGACTCATAGCCTACAAATTAAAGACATGGATATTTTTGTATTTCTTCTATTTCTTTCAAACAAAGTATGACTCCTTAAGACATATATTATTAGCTTTTAACTAAAAAATAGAAAAGCGTTCAAAAGTAATGCTCCCGAATTCAAATTCGCAAAAATGGCGAAGGTCGGTAGACTATTTAGACGAATGCTTAGTTATCTAGGGTTATATATATATATATATATATGTACAGAAACACATTAGCACATTCTTTTAAGCTCTAAAGCGTAAAACACTTATATAAGTACTAATGCTTTAGGGTAATAACCCACCAGCAAAAACCAGGTACCAAAAGTAACTTTCGTACATTAATAAGAATAGCAATTGTGATATGATATTTGTGAACTATTTTGTAAATTCTAAATAAAGTTTTACACTTGTTCTACACCTCAATAAATATTTCTGTATGATTCGATAGATACTCTGCAATTCCAGAATTCTGGAATGTATATATTGAATTTTATAAAACATTAATGTCCGATTAAAATAAATAAAAAGCTGTTTAAAAATACAACTATATACAAATGAAATTTACTAACAGTATTCTGAGAAATGCACAATATTTACTGAAAAATACAGTAACATGTAAAACAGTTTTCTTGACTTTATAGCTGCAATTTCCAAATAAATTGCTTAATAAATATGCACTCTTTGAATTTTGGTAAAGCAATAATATGCAACATCACAGCACATTTAAACTCTTTGTAGTCCTTTTATATGAAAAATTAAACCTTAATAAGTACTAATACTTATATACTAATAAGTTCGATTGAACACATCCACAAGCATATTAAATTATATTAATTAAATTTTGTATGTATATTCTTTTTTTCTTGTCAATGAAGTATGATTATAAAATAGTGTAGCAGACAATGTTTAAAATTAACAGAGAAACTACTTTAATATTTTGTAAAATGGTACAAAATATTGGACTTCAAAGAGTTAAAAGTTCAAACGAAGCAATTCATACTAATTATAAAAACATTTAATGTTTGCACAAACTTGATTATTAAGTACTCTATATGAGTACACAATTATTATATACTTTTGAGATGTACTGTCGTGATTATATATAACAAAACTGTCATAGTTACATTCAACGAAAAATTTCGTCAAGTAGGTCTGTGGTGACCTGGAAATGGTGGACTAACGCCTAAAATTCCTACCAAATTCCCTCTTTGAGCAACATAAACCAATTGATACATTCCCGGTGACCGTAGGGCAGTATCACTAAAGTATATTCGTTCTGTAATTATATGGGGTTCACAAGGAACTGAAGATGATTTACCTAAAATAAAATTTGTTATCCATTTACCAGAACAGTTATAACATGTATCCTATGGAAGTTAATAAAATATAATTTTACCTCTGCCCACATATTCATAAACAATATATTCGTCTAAGCTAGAAAAATGGTTATGAAAGAGACCAACCCAGTCGTTATCAGTGGGTTTAGTATCCCCCAACAGTCTATACGATACAAAATTTTCTTCATCTATGAACCATTGTGTTACAGGTTGGAATTCTACACCATGATCTACCACCATAGGTCTGACCTATAAATTAAATTACGACAATGGATTTGATAAATTATCAGTTGACTCCTCCTTTTTTTATTTTCAAAAATATAACTTACAACGATATCAAATTCTCCTGTGACAGGTTTGTGATCTGATTGTATATAACTGGGATGACTTTTATAGTTATGTTGAATAGCGTTAAGCTTCACATCATCGTACACATCTGCATTTACTTTGTACAGTATTCTATCAGTCCAAGACGGTCTACGTCTATATGAAAAATTATTAGTTAAAAAAACTAATATTGCGAAACTGATATCAAAATAGAAAATTTATCTTACTTAAGATCAAATTCTTGAGAAGCAAATTCATATTTGTAAGTAGGTGGAAATGTAATAACACTTTCATTCAATTCCGCAAAAGCCTCGCCTTTTTCCATCACCAGTTTTAATTGATCTCTGTCTAGCAAACATTTCAATTGATTTTCTTTAACCAAAACGTTGATATTTGCTGCAGTTAAATCTTCTCCATTTAGCCGAAAATTTAAATCACCAATCCAAAATACATAACTGTGTAGAAAATCATTGTCAAAATGATTTATATATATATATATATATGTAGATAATATTACTTTGTGAAGAATGTACACATACTCATGATATAATATTTTGGAAGTATCCGGGCAATTAAAAGTATGGTTTGTGAGTATTGTATTGTAATCTGCTATTCTGTATAACAATAAATGATCGTGAGGTGTCAAATGTGTATTCACAATGCATACGCTGACACCGTATATATTTAATCTTATACTAACTGCACCTTTGTTACCCTGAACAACAAATATTTTTTGTTAAAGAAATTACAATATGATTATAACTGTAAACTATCGTAAACAATATAACTAAAAAATTTCTCTTACCCATATGCCCCCCAACCCTGTTCTCGTATATTGCGCTTCAATTAATCTCAAATATGTAATATGTTTTCGTAAGCAGAATGCACTTAAAATTATACCCTGTAGGCGCTGTGTACGTACTTTCACATAATCATATTTTTTCAGGACATCCCTGAAAAATATATTCAATATGTATTATTGTCAGAATTATATTGTTTTTAAGAAGTAAATTCTAAATTAATATAAATAATAAATATTTCAATTTATGCTACAATGTTACAAGTACATTAAAGTGACTACCTAAAAGATTTAGTCCATGGATCATCAAAAATCATATCTAATACCATATTTTGTGGTTGAGCTTTGACCTCCTGCAATCTATTCATTTTATAAGTTTCATTATATTATATATGATCATATACAACATTTTGTATTTACCCAATAAAATATAAATCTGGCATTACTTTTGAAGAATTATTGTGACTAACATTCAAAAGTTGCTGTAAATCTTGTTCAGGATATGTAGTTGCCACATTCCATGTGACAAAGTATATCCTAAAATACATAGTTGATATTTATTATCAAACTGTCTTATACTAAAATATGAAACACAAAATATAAATAAAATGGAAAATAGCATACAATCAAAACAAATATTTGATTTGTCATTTAAATTTTAATTCATTATTCTAGATCGCAAATATCCCAAATTACGCGATGCTCGACAAAAGTTCATTTAAAATTGCAGAAAATATATTGATTAAAGTAGACATATGGTAGATGCAAAAAATACATATATCTTTTTACTTACCTAAGATGTTCCAACTTGTTGGCCATTTCTGAGATACTTCAACGTAGAATTTAAGATAGTTTCACTAAAAATTTACGAAACTCTGAGAGTATTCGAAAGAAGGCTATAGCACAGTGACTTTGCAAAGTGCATACTAACACATTTTTAGGTTAAGAAAGTTAATTCGTAGTGTCAGCATATAGCTGAGTGATTTAACCGTCGTAAATTTTCATTCAATAGATAATTGTAGGCGATTGAATTAGTGGTTCACAAGAACTACGTGTATTTTATGCTTCACTATCCATCAGAAACTACTCACTAAACCATACTGACAGCTGTAGTAAAATTCAATCTCCCCCTTTATTTAAGCCCGCCACGTGACGTCAAAAGAGCAACCTGTCGTCTACAACTGTCAATTAAATACCTACTGCGCAAATATATCACGACTTCTTTTGGCCAGTGACATATCATATCAGTTGTAAACAATACTCCGTTCCAGATATGTTAAACGTAAATACTTTTCATTATGTTGAAACAGGATGTTATGAATGTAGACGATTCTATGAATGACAATACATTGAACTCATTATTTAATCTAGCAAATCTTCCTATTTTCCCTTTTTGTGTTGCATTAAACATTAAAATGGAAATATATTACATTATTTATCTATTTATATATATATTTGTCCGACAATACAAATTTATTTAATTATCGTATTCTGAAAGGAGGTTTGAATATTTTATAGAATCTATAAGTAAAGTAAGACATTAAATTTTTTCCCACGTTTTTAGTAATTCCTTAATAAATTCTGTTTCTTTGTAAATTATTTTAAGGTTTGTTCAGAATTTTCTGTGATACGTTAATTTTTACTAATACCTTATTAGATTAAACAAATAAATTTAGAAGTTGTCGTAAAAGTGTATTCGTTTCGAAATCACTTGGGTATTTTTTAGCAATTGAAATAATTTGTTGTAATACGATAAAATAGTATTATAACAAATACAATAACTTTCAAAAAGAAGAGTGTAATTTAATAATTTAATGAGTTGAAGAGTTATGATGTTACAAACTAAATTTCCAGATGCAGAAACTATTTACAGTGCTATAAGCTCATTGCACTTTAATGAAAATAAATAGAAACTATTATGATCAGTGAACAATGACTCACTGACAAATGAAAGAGCAGATACAGGGAAACTTTCCGGTTCATTGTTTTAACTCTTATCATTTTACTTTGAAATATAGGGGACGTGTCTTGACATGTGTAACTTAAGTACAATTTTTTCAAAGTAAACGAAAAGAACATTGCGTTTCTCTGAATTCATTTTTTCAAAGAAATATCATTAACAAATTATTCATTTCTAAATTTGAATTCACTGTCATTAAAATATAATTAAATGCTTTCTGAAGTATATATACTTGTTCGTTTACTATTTGTAATTCCAATACCTAAACGCTCCAAATTTTGTTTCGAACCGTTAACACAGTAAACGTATGTTACATATTTTTCTAACTAATTTAATTCATTATAACGTGCTTAGCAGTTTACGAATCAATTAAATACACGTGAAATTCTAGGCTGATATTCATAATACTTCTATATATTAAGGAATATTTTGTACAATTGGAAATTTCTAAATAAACGCAATTACTATGAGAGATAAAATTTATCGAAAAATATCAAATGATACCTCGATATCTCAGATTGTATAGTTTCCGTCAATGAATCATGAATCATAATTATGATAACATCCAGTCTTTAATCTTAAATACTACAAAAATATTCTACATCAACGTTCTAAGTACAGTTAAACAATGTTAACAGGTATCTATTAAAATCTTATATAGTACTTGATATGTAAGTGATGGAAAAGAAAAGACATTATCAAAAAGGTATGGTACCTTTATTATATTTTCACGCGAAATTCGTTTCCAGTAGTTACTGTTTGATTTGTTATTGAAATAATCGAGCACCGCCATTACAAAAGGAAACCACTAAAATCTCAAGTGATACTCGTGCGTGATACTATTTACAATAACAAGCCAAACCAAAGAAAACAAAGAAAACCGCAGTTTGTTGTTTTGTGGCTATCTAATCTAAGAATGTAGAAATGGGACATCTTTTTATTAATTCCACAGACTTTCCCGTAAGACGGTTATTGTTGTATGTTATTAGTACATCATCCCTGGATGAGCTGCTCGTTGAAAGAATACATTCGGGTTCGCTGATAAAGTCGTGTATAAGTTTCCAGCCTCTTCTGGCCTTAAGTACATGCCGGGTGGCAAAACAAATGTCTCCATCGGCCCGTGAACATCTGCGGAATACAAACGTTTGTTCCTTAATTATGGTTATCGCTAATATTATTACTAATATTATTCTTAGAATAATTATTATTATTGGGTTCATGCAAAAGTTTTAACATCTTTTTTTAGAAGAAGTAAAAAGAAGAATTCCCAACTGTTCGCTGGCTAAATTAAAACTAAATAAAAGCGAAGAAAAAAGTGTTCTTTATACATGTTATAATAGTTTGAAAACATAGTTCGACAATTTGTTTGTTAATTACGTGCAAAAATTGTTTGCATCAACTCAATATTTCTATTAATACAATAATTAAATACAAATATATAAAACTTCGTTAAACATTAATGAAACTTTCATTTTATTTTAAATCCACTGAAATGTTCATTATTTGTGCCTAAATGCTCATATTTTGACTTATACTTCGTTTAAACATATTGCCCAATATGTACATAATTTGCATCACTAAACTAAATTAAAAATTTCTTATTATCATTACGGCATTGAAATATTGACCTCCAACAATATGTATTATTTATACTCATCATTATAAACTATTTACTAACATACTATTTTAGAACAATATAATAATATGCAATATACATTCCTTCTAATATATTTAAACGCATTTTTAACTTGAAAACTTTGGAAATTTGTTGATAATATTTTTCTAATTATATTTTCTGAAATAAGATTTTTCTTTTTCATCAAGAGTTTGCACAGTAACACATTCGCAGTATCGCTTTGATGATCCCATCATCATTCACTTTATTTCACTCGCTCTAGGTATGTTTCGATTATTTTCTTACAATTAGTTACGCAACGCTTTTTGTCCAATTCGCGGATATGAGCATTTTAATCAATAAAACAATTACGTTCTGCATTATTTTTGTATTGAAGAGTAATAACTTATAGAAACGGGACTATACTATACCAATCACATCTACATTCTTTGAAGACGTCTACTTTTCAGTTTTGAATATTGCTTGTTACAATGAAAAATTAGAGGGCCCAAAAAATTTTTATTTTCGTATGTTTTCCAACAGATTTCAATGCAGGAAAAATTTGAAAAATAATTTGCCCTTATTATTTTCAATTCTTGAGAAATACAATTTAGAAAAAATTGAATATTCTAATTTAAAAGGTAATTATTTGATACGTTAAATAAGAATATTCTACAAATGTTTCTTGCAGAAAATCTTACACCCAAATCAAATGATATATTTTAGACCCCTGTCATGCTCTAATTTTAGTTAACAATCTTATATCTTGCTTTAAAGTGTTCTTCTATAAATAATTTATAATGAATACCTACAACAGTGAAATAAGCTATATATATAAAAGAATGTCTGCTCTATTGTGTGCTGTAGTTACATTTTGCCTTAAATCTCTAACTGTTAAAATAAATTAATGCATGATCGGTGTCTTGTTCACCTTAAAACCATAAATTAAATATTTATAACATTATAAAATTATACACTATTTTATTTAAAAACACCTATAAAATCATTTTCTACAAGAAACACTTATATAACGTGTATAAGTAATGCATAAATAATTTTTAAATTCGAAAATATGATCTATTTTTTAATATTAAGTTCCTCCTTGAAAATTTATTTACGAAATCGTACTAAGAATTAATTAACGTTATTGTTATTAAAACTATTTTTAAGTAAGTATTCAATTAAAATATTTACATCAAACTACTTTTCAGTGATGCAACTTCGAATTAATATGCACTCTTACACAGGTATTATTTATGCTCATATTGAAAAAGAATCGTTTATTAAAAGCAGAAGATAGTAACGTACAAATTCTTTTGGAATGAATTGGTTGAGTTGGTTTTTCATTAGCTAAGCACATTATGATGACATTAAAAGTAGTGTGTTTATTAATTAAATTAAAATCTAGGTTTAGGTTTGCAATATGCACTGAACAACTTATCAAAACTTGATATTATTTTCAAACAGTGGTGAAAGTATATTATGCATAATATTCTTGTATCTATCGTATATTATATCGTTTAAGCAGCGGACCATGAAGTTTTACAACGGTACATATGCACGTACTTACATATTTTTATTGAAGCTATTGAGAGTAGATTTCAGTTCTATTCTACGTGTACAGTTTTTATACATTTAATGTTATTTATTCATTTATGTATTTACGATAAAAATTTATGAACATAACAGTTATACATTTTTTTGTATCGATTTCAAGACCCTGTATTACTTGAAAATATTAAAAATAAAAATCAATCGTCTTTAAAATTCAAAGCCAATGTTTTTCAAGACACTTTTAACTAAAATACCTTTTTTAAATTTATGACCAAAATGATTAATTTAAATTTTAATGTATACTTGATATTAATATAATTTACAATAATTTTCAAAATTTATATCCAATTACAGACATTTGTACACATAATTATATTTATTGATAATTCATGTTTACAATGATCTTTTATTTATTGTTGTTTTAAAGTTCAAAAAGAGCTCAGTTTCGGGAACACTATTCATGAAATTCCCAATAAAATACTAAAAACGAATTTCAGTGGCCCGATTACTTTACAAACGTAACCGCGATTTGAAGTAGGTCACATCTGTCACACTTTTTACAACCATGTAATTATTCGAAAGTTTCTTGCTACGCACGAGTAATTTATTATCACTGGAATTGAATCTCACTGAAAAGATAATAAAAACAAAATGAATTGGATCAATAACTTCTTGAAAGAGGAAACACATTTGTAACATTGATAGTAAAATTAATAGCAATTTTAAGTTGAAATAAACAACGTAATTATATATTTTTATTACTATTATCAATTCATTTATTATCAAGAGTATGGAATATGGAATAAAAAATAGTTAAAATGATTATGGTGAGAATTGAATATCAAAAGATTATTTTATAAAGAATTCATTACTACATAAGATGTATTAATTAATTCGATAATTATTTAGAAAAGGGTAAATTTCGTTGATTTCAATGACCCTGAAATACATTGTCAGAGACATTATTCTCAATAACTTTTACCTGTATACGTTGCCGCTACTTGGAATTAGTTTCCGAGAATTTATAAACATATATATGATAATCCTTAAGTCGTACATTTTCACAGATTCCCACGATTTCTGAATTTATATTATATGTAAAAGTGTGCACTTCAGTTGATAACATTTTAGTTTCTCTGACAATCTGTTTCATTAAGAATTATTTATTTATTTATCCTCTGATAAAGGGGAGATCAATGCCACTAATAATTCAATATCATTGAATGGTAAACTTATCAAAAATGTCACTGAAATTTTTAAAAATCTGTTTCATTTACTTAAATAGCAACAAGAGGTATTAGTGGAGTAGGTTTTTTCGAGGTAAAGGTGCAAAGTTCCGCCCCACTTTCAATTTTACATTATAATTCTAAAAAATACTTCGAGTTCAAATTCAATGTCTTTTTACGAATATTTCGAAAACTAAAAGAATCCGACATTTTTGTAACCGGAAAAGGGATTGTTTGAAGTGACGATTTCTACAAGAAATTTAACCAGTTCGCTGGGTTTGAAGAGTATGCATATCACTTTAAAAAACTCAAATTTGATGCGTTCGTTGCATATACTTGTCATGTGAAAAAATTACCATTTGCTCTGAAGATATAAAAGATAAAAAAATCTTATGTGATTAAATTATTGTTATTAAACTTATTATTAAAACTACTATGTAAAATGATTACGTTTAATTTTGATTAAAAGACTTTCGAAGATTTTTCAACCAGAAGTAAAACCTTGTAGCATAATCGTCATTGCCTGATTTTATTTACGCACCCCACAAGAGATTATTCAAATTAAATTTAACAGTTTACAGATTAAAAATCATCAAAATCTATAAAGAGACCTATTTCCTAAATAATTATGATAAATTCACAAATACCGAAAAATGAAAAGTTTTAATGTTTGCGGATGAATACAAAGATTTAACGTTAATCAGAAAATAAAATAAAACAATTTTAATCGAGTTCTCGATAAAATTCCCGAGCTGAGTATTTCCCGGCTGGGTATTGTGATTATCATGACCAGTGTCATAAACGAGCGGATAGTTTATGCCTTGCAGGTTGGTGACCTTTGCCTTGCAATTTATTGTATATTCCACGCCCTACTCGTAATAATGGACATTGTGGTAAAGAGACGTATTACAAAGATAAAACAGTTATTCGAAATGGTTTTTACTAAACAAGCGATGTTACTTAGCAATTTAATACCATCCCTAAAGTAAATAATATTAAAACCACGAATAATATATAGTATATAAATAAATTAATAATAAATCAATAAATTATTAATTAGTTTCAAACTTAACTACCATCTATCTCTGACAGAAATTATTTCATCACACATGAAAGATAACAACAATGTTATACATATATATTTTATTCCATTTACCAGGTTTCAACTGCAGTGTAAACTCAAGTTTTGTACTAACACATACAAGAGCCACATTAAATTATGTTTGAAATAAAACTTAATGAAGCATTAAATATAATCGTCTATTTAAGAATCATAGTATAATTTTGTGTTCACTAGAGTATGAAAATCTTGGGAAATTATCTATAAATGGAATAAAAATTTTTCACTTTTTCTTTTTCATAATACAATTAACAATACAATAATTCTAAAAATGAAATAATTCTTATCGTTAATGAAAATAATAAACTAAAGGATTAATTCTATATTTAAACACATCTAAACAACTTTTTTATTCTACTCCTTTCACAATTCTAAAAATCATTTTGATGATTTCTTTTACAATTATGCTTAATAAAAGTACTTTAACATTAATAATTTATTAGAAAAAAAAGAATTTGGTGCTTATATTATTCGTCAAATTCAAACATTAACGATGAATAATAGAAAAGAAATATTTAATTTATATTTAAGAAAAGTAAATAACATTTAGGTTTGTCAAGGGGTTAAATACATTTACATTATTGAAGCAAATAAGTTTTACGAAGTATTATTAATAATCTCATTACAAAAATTTCCTCCTGAAAAGAAAAAGACTTGTTTAAACGTATATCATTCTATTAGAAATACTCAAAAGCGCGCGTCGAACTTCAGAATATTCATTGTTCCTTTGATGAATCGGTAACATTTTTACTTTGTTTAATGTAACATTCATGTCTCTCTGAATTGATGAAAATGACATTTATCAATATTAAAATATTTATTTCTCTTAATATAATTTATTGAATAATCCAGTTATAACAATTAAATAAAGTTTATTTAAGAAAATACTTGGTTGCATCTGATTCAAAAATAGATTTTGCTATAAAGCGGACAGCGTACATAGAGAGTGCGTTTTGCAAATGAAAGAAGTTCGTATCTGTCTTCATCAAAGAAGGTTCGATCATTCACCGACAACAAGACACCGATTAACTAGCGTCGTCTGATCTAACGGGATCCGTTTCCCCTTCCAGTTTAATTCCCGGAGAAGCGCTTGACCTCCGCCTCGAAACTTTCTCCCTCTCCACCTTTCCAGCACGAGGTGTTTCCTCCCTTTCGTTCGTTACTCGAGGTGAAGGTCGCCAGAGGCAATGCCGTAACGGAGGAAAAGTTTCGGAGGGGAATACACCGAAGAAACGAGCCCGGAAATTTCCTGAACAATTCTTTCATCTATTGTTCCGTAATCGGACTGAAGAAAGAACCGATTTAATACAGGAAATTCCATAACTAAGAATTCGCAGGCGTTATCAAGATCCAACTGCATTAAACATTTTATGTTTTCTTTCTTATTGCACTTATAAGCAAAAAGAATGCTAAATACAATTAGTTCTCATTTTTGAATACTTTAGTCCTCAATTAAGATATACTTAGTGAGTTTTTTGGTGTAATAAATAAATGGGTTTTATGAAACTCTTAGATAATTAAACAATTTTGTAATCAATTGATTACAGAGTAGAGAATAAAATTTGAAACATAAATGTTCGTTTCATTCCTTTTTTTGTAAAACAATATGGTCAAATGTGAATTTGATTAACTTGCTGCAATATAATGGTGAATGATAAATTAAACAACCGCAAGAAACTCTAAATTTTAGATGGTATACAGTAAACCTTATTTTACTGAATTAACTATCCACGTGAAATTATCATGAGAATCATTCTTTACCTATCAGCTATCAATAAATCCCAATCATCTTTCACGTATTTGAATAGCGCTGAGTTTTTAAAGTTGTCTTGTTTTCAGCACGTTATAGTTATAAATATCTCCAGTATTCGTTGAATATTTTATATTGTGCATCGAATATTTTATACATAGAAATAAGAATTGTATTTACACCATGTTTAATTAAAACTATTTCTGTGCAGTCTGTTTTAATTCATCACGTTGTAATATTTACATGTATTTAAATTAATTTTTCAATTATAATGTTGCAAGAAATGTCTTGGGTTCTATGTTTAGGTAATTAAAAACTCATGAAATTTTTCACTGAACTTTTATAAAATATTCAGAGAAAGCTAAACTTTGCGTGATTGCAAATACTTCAACGTACTTTTTAAATTATTTTAGTCGATAACACCAGTGTCTAATAGCTAGCTAATTCTTGAAAACCCTTACCTTCAGAGTATATGGGACTTCCACCGTGCCTGCAGGCAGTGCATCCAGGTATAGCGGATGAAACTAACGCCACACGATCTACAATTCAAAGCACATCGATAAAATATATGTAGGTACAGAAACGTGAAGAATAGTGCTAATTAAGCTACTATTAAAGATATTCATGCTTATTTTACATCGACGCTTTATCTGCCTATTAATGGAATTTTCAATGACTATATCGTGATAAAATGGAATTCAATAATAATCTTTTATATAATAATTTCGACAGAAATAATTAAGATAATTCGATCAATAGTTCACTCGATCGCTTGAGATGACTTGTTAGGTCACAATTATAATTATTGTTTATTATTGAAAAATTCGTTAGGAAATCCTTAACAGTTTATTAGTGAGTTTTATAAGAAATTAGATAATTAGATAATAATAAATAAACAATTAGATAATAGTATTAACGAATGCTATTATTAACGTTAATCAACTGGACATTATTTTTTGCCTATATAAGAAAATGTTAGGTGTACATAGTATTTAATGAATTGTAGACTAAAATAAGAAACTACGAACAAATTTTCACGTTAATTTTGTTACAATCAACTAAATTTTCAAAATATCTGTAATAATTTGTTATTATAGTAAAAATTAAATCCATTTATTTATACAACATATTCTTCGTATTTCTGCTAAGAAATATTAACGAATTTTACTAGAAAAATGCAGAAGTGTTATATACAAGAAAAAATAATATAATTGTACTGTCAATTTCGTTATACTGGAAATAAGAAACGTTCTAATTACCGTTCTTACTTTTCACAATTTTAACATTCGCGGTACATAACACCTCGCCGTATTAATTGAAGTATAATGAACTCGTTCGGCGTAATGCACAATAAAAGTAGATGATTTTTATTCAGTTATGGGAAAAATATGATGAGTCCGTTAATATTGTATCGAATGAGCGAAACGGAACAAGAATCAAGGATAACTGGGAGAAACATTATGGTTCGTGCGTGCACGAAAACACGGGTAAAACTCATTTCTTCGACAGAAAAAAAATATGATGAAATCAGCATCGCGTGTAACTTGGTATTAGACATGCAAAAAATATTTTTTAAAGATTATGGTAGATGAAAACAAGTTTTGAAACGTTTCATATAAAGATGCTAGGTTATTTAGTCTGATGCTTTCTGATACTTTTTTTCATAGAGAATACATTATTTAAGTGCAGATTGTTATGTTATAGGGACGCCATTATTTTTGTAAATAGAGATAAATAAAGATATATTGTATATGTTACATTCATAATCACATGATAACTTCTAAACTAAACACAACATTCATTTAATTTTACTTAACATTGTGCCAAATTTTTGTTTAATTTTCATTATTTAAAATATTGCATTGTCTCATTTGTATAGGGTATTTTATAAAACATAAATATTATATTTTAATAGTAAATTTATAATGTAAAAGTAATAAGAGATATTTACGTATGTGTCTTGTCTAAATATCTATGTTTATCTTCGTTGAAAATAGAATTTTTAATAAAACATGAATATAAGTCAATGCTCTCGTGTTATTGGAATTATTTGACAATTTTCAGAAAAATTATGTAACAGGATAATTTTCTTCTAATTAAAAATTGATATTTTCAACAATGAATCTACAACTTTCAACTAGTAAGGTTTTTCAAGGAATCATATTATTTAAAATTATTCAAATACTCTGTAAAATTTTGACTGAAATAACATGTCACATTAAACATTAGTAGCATAATTAATTTTGCTTCTGCAAATTTGTCATTACTAATGTTTACTTACATAGAATATGTTATTACAAATATTTCGTTATTATTAATAACGTATTTATGTATATTATACAATATTGTATTTCTATTCCTATAGTATTACACTACTAATACTTTATTCAGTTTTCAGATTTATAAAACACCCTTTACGCTATGCTTTACGTTATACTAATAGCGAATTTAAATAAATATAAGATAAATTTACCAGCGAAACAATAATACAGCTTCTTTTTCAAAGGATAAATGTAATATAAATAAATATAATGTATATGTACTAGCACTGTGTAATGCAGTTTTCTCTCCAAAGAATGAATATAATACAAACAAAAATATAACATAAACGAACAGGATGTAAATATACTGGTACTGTAATAACACAGTTTTCTCTCCAAGGAATGAATATAATATAAATGAATATAATATAATTATACAAACATTGGGATAAAGTAGTCTTCTCTTCAAAGAATGAATATAATATAAATGAACATGATATAAATATCCTAGCACTGTGATAATACAGTTTTCTATCGAAAGAATGAATATAATATGAATGAATATAACATAAATGAATGTAATATAAATATACCGGCACTGTGATAATGAAGTTTTCTCTTCAAAGAAGCCTCGGCTGGCTTAAAGTGGAAAAAAGAAGGCGAGTAGCCGCTGCCAGGTAGCGAGCTCAGGGCGTCATCGCGATCACGGATCACCGTGTCAGGAGCCTCACGACCCAGCGCAGCCAATTGCCGACCCTTCGGCAGGAACATCGTCAGGAACACCAGTAGAGAAGTAGTTAATAAACCATACGCTAGCCAAGCCTCTCTGTCACTTTCCGAGGAAGCTGCCATCGAACCGATCGCGCTTGATATCCAAATCGGAAGCGATAAACCAACAGCGAGGCCAATAAACGCTGCTTCCCGGTTGTTGTCTCGAACGCCCCGTGCCCTGACTGCTAAACAAGCCACCGCTACCAGGAGTGCTCCAGGGTACCTGAAAGTCGACAATGAAATTCTGAGCACGTTTCATCCGAAACATTTGTACATACAAAATTAAACATGAGTAGATGCCTTGTAGATTTCCTTTTTAATCGTTCTACGTGACGATATTCAGACGAGAAATATTTGCTTGACGTATTTTGAAATGAAATATGCTTTAACCTTTTGCAGTCTTACGTTTACTCTCAGCCACCGAAGTTCTTTTACCGTTATAATCATGTAAAACCTAATGTCTATGTTAAATAAAGCTTTATTATTGTAGGAAATTTGTCTAACATTTAAGAAAATAATAAATTTCAGTTCCTGTTTGTAATCAGGCGCAATGTTGCTATTGTCTACTCTATGAAAATAAGTAGACAATAGAAAACTGAAAATTTCAGTGCCTATAGTTTAACGAATTGTATAATAAAAGTAAAGTATTTGTGGTTTTATTTACTAACATATAACAAATCGTTCCATTTTGAGAATTAGTAACAGTTTTCACGCAGAGGGATGCTAACGATTTATGATAGAAATAAGTTTCTTGCATTTTTATAACAATTTAAGTGATACGAAATGGATGAAATTGATGAATTACGTATATTTAAAAAATTTAAGGGATCTATTTAACAATGAAATATTTAATAATTATTATTTAATATTAATCATACAATCTACATGAATTGTTATGAAGTTCGATAAAAACTAAGTAATCCTAAAAACCATTCGCTCAAGAGTTTCTAAAATATTAATATTGTACCATAGAAGATTTTTAATAATATTTGTTACGTAAGAATTTGTATCCAGTTAAAATGTAGTATGTGTCACTATTTAAAAAATCCCTTATTCAAACTTCTATCTATAGTTTTGTTAATCATAATTAAACGAAATTGATAAAGCTATATACAAGAAATACATTCATATATAAATAATGATACGATAACGTAATAACTTTTATAAAATAATTTCGAACGACATCTGCAGTAACAACTCACAAAAACATAATGAATAGTGTCGCTGGAAAGTTTAAATTTGAAAAGTTTACCCGAGAGATGCCACGATCTGTCCGAGAGGAGTTTTGCAACAGGATGCTGTAGAAGCTGGTCCTGTACTGTGTACCTGGACAACGGCTGGCGGTTCGCCGTAAAACCATTGTCCAATGATAGCTACCTGCACCAGCACGGCAAATCCCAATACTAATGCCTGTAACAAGAAAATATATTCAACATATTTCGAGCCACAACTGCTGATGCGGGGTCCGAAAGACTCCATAGGACACTTAACCTGTTAACTAAGCAATTTCTTGACTACGAATACCTGTACGGACACCAGTAAATGAAAATGATAACGATCTAAGGCAATTAATCCCACAATGAACGCAATTATAATTTAATTTACATTCCTACGGACGTTATGGTATAATTTTATGCAGGTATCTGTAGGTAAATATACAGGAAAACTAGAAATCAGCCGAAGATAAAGGTGAATACGAACGACCAGTATACAATTCGTCGTGCACGGTAAACAGGTTAAACTTATGATAATCCGGCTACAATTATTATAACAATTTTAATGATGTTACTTCTTTTAAACTAGTAAATTGATTTGAATGCTTCACTTCGACGATCAACAATGCAATAAAATAATTGATATTATTATTCAGCAAACGTTTATTTGTACACACTTACATTGACAACAGTGTTTCGTATTTAACACATTGAATGCCACACGACTTTACGTAGAAAAATACGCAAAATGAAAAAAATATAATATCAAATTATTTAATTGAATCGTTTTATTATTATTACACGTTTAACTTGCCGAATATCTTAATTGACTGAATTATAATAATTCAATTTTGTCGGGGGTCATCGGTGACTCCCATGGCATTCAACGTGATAATATTGTTTATAGTTACGAACATGGTGTTGTAGTAGAAATTAATATTAAAAAATGATAAATATTTCTTCGACATCTGTCTTGATCTATCAAACAAAACAATGAACGATCATAAACTATCCGAAATCCTTGTTTTCTTCCAAATATTTGAAATTTAGCAGATACATGCGAATTTTTGCGAGTGACTGTATACAGGTTATTGAAGCACCGATGTTAATGAACAGTCGGTTAGAGTAATTAGCACAGTGCTGCTGCTTAGAATGGGATTTGAACTGCACACGTATGAAACACTGACTTTGTGTGATACTGAATACGAATTGTCATTATACAGTATGTAATTCTTTAATTTAATTTAATATCCTACATTAACCACTCTTCATCCACTTCATTCACAAATCTTAATCAGCTGATTTCATTTACAATTACTTTTTCGCCTAAGATTTGATATCTTTCACCTGACTAAATTCTTGTCTTGTGACGGATACATTCCACACTTCATACATTTATAATACATTCATACATAAATTCCTCGTGCTGCATAAACACATGAAATCCTTACAAACATTAATAAGCCCACGGAAACGCTTCAGCAGCAGAGTTAAGAATTCTTACGTGCAAGTTCATTCGATATCACTTGAAAGCTGCCGATGAAAATTTTCGTAAATCAACGGTATATTTAATATTAATCTCTCGATCGTAAAAAAGTAATTCTGTTTAACGCTGTGTTAGTAAGGTTTTTTTACACGGCGATCGGCCTTAAACCATCTGCGCGAGGGTATTTCGTTTTTCCTTGATCGCCAGCCTTAATTAATAATATGTTAATGCTGGTCTTCCGCGGCGCGGTTTCTTTCGAGCCGAGCGATCGCCTAAGAAAGGTATAATGACACGGGACGCACGTCAAACGCAATCAGAAAATATTATTATACACGTAACAAGAAAGAAGCCGGCGTGATTTTTCCAATGAGACATTTCGCAAACTGGTTTCGATCCGCTCTTATCATCGCTTTCTTTAATGCGTATAATCGCACCTACTTGCCGGCGACTAACAAAACGATACACGTGAAATCCGTTACGCCGCCGGCTCGAGAATATCGGAAATATTAACGTTATTCAATGTACAACGAGATGTACTTAACGACCGCGACAGCTGCACTTACTGCTATTACTACCGGGCGTTACTACTGAATTACTTTTCATTCAAGTCCCGTCCAGCGCGTACAAATAGTCGATCGAGATCGACATCCGGATCTCCGACATAACGAAATAAGAATAATCCCTTGCATCCTCCGTGAGAGAGCCGTTCCGTGAGACGTTTTATAAAGCCGCGTTCACACTAGCACGGCCAGGCCTTTCGATCGAATTATCGATTGAAACACGCTAGGGTTACTAAACTCGTCAATTTTACGCATATCGAATCTTTTAAAGATCATTTGGTAAACGTTTATGTGAATTTTGATCAATGCAATTACGCAGATAGGTATTCGAGTTGTATATTTTTGAATCCTTGGTTTGCAAGATTTAAATGAGTGAACATCAACTATTTTAGAAATAATAGAATATACTATACAATAAGTGTTCCAAGCCTAGTGTTAATCGAATTTTTTCTTCTTTCATTTTGCAATAAAATTAACACTAACTGTGTGAACACTTTGTGTGACCAGTTAAATAACTAATAACAAAATAAAGGTAAAGTTCGATGACTTTTTTTTAAAGTTAGAAACAAAAGGAAAGGTAAAAATTGAAAAACTGATGATCCCTCTGTGAGCTGAATTTTTTCGTGACTATAACAAAATTTATACAGTATGAAATTAATAAATATCAACCTATGAATACAAATTAACAATGTATTCAATAGTTTAAATAATTTTATTAAAATTAATATATTTTATAACTTTGAAGTTTCAATGACGTTGAATGTTTACGCTTACGTGTATAAAAGTTCAAATTGATTAAATATTTAACTTCATTTGTGATTTTGGGGTAAAAAATTAAATAAATCAATTTAACCCAGTGTATTCATGTGTGAATTTAAAGCTACACAGGCCTATATAGGGTTAATCGAACAATAGGAATTGATATAAAGTTAAATGTTGAAAGAAAACGCAGAATTTTTATTCAAATTTTAAAATTGGACATTTGACCGATTCGCGGTACAGTTACTGTTAACATAATTGACTAGGTGTAAATTGTGAAGAAACGTTCAAATAATAGTATAATTTGATCTCTAAATCAAATAATGAATTTATTTCATAAAATATACCCAAAATTACCATTACGATGGACAACAGTGTAATTCAAGCGAGTTATCTGCCGTAAGATGTTTTGGTTATATTTTTTTTAGTGTTTTAAAATAAAGATAAACAAAACTGTTTTTAAAGTAATTATAATGTATAGATATACAATTTATAGATAACGAAGGAGAATGTGTTTCAGATTAAAAACAGTTTTGCTTATTTTTACTTTAAAAATAAAGGAAATATAAAAAAACCGAATTAATTATGGAATAACCCAATATTATCCCGTTGGTAGTCTAAGACTTAACACTTTACCTACCGAATAATTGCAGTTTTGACGTCAGTGCTAACCTATCAGGATTTGAAAAATCGGATTTTCAATGTTCACGCTTACAGTTAGAAGATGCCTTGATGTCTAGCGGAACAGCATAGGACAAGACGTGTCTTTCTAATTTACAGTTTTATAGTTTTGATTGGTTACTTGTAACCGTATCGACGAATAGTAAATTAGTAATCGAAAATGTCAAGAATCAGAAATAAAATGAACAGAAAATTGGTGAGGAAAAACGAAAACTGTCATTAAGTGATCCTCTGTCTACCGGAATTTCTTGAAACTACTTATCGAATGAATTAACATTGTATATATTATGTTATTCTTCACATATTGGTGATCGCGTTATAAGCCCTTCACACGTGTGAAATATTTTGTAATTAATGTAAAGACACCAGTAATTGACCGGGTATCAATGGTTGACCATTTTTCAGGAAAATGCAAAGTATAAGGTTTTTAAAAGTAATTTTAAATAATCTTTCGATAAAGTGCTATAGATATGTTACAGCATATACCGACCCAACTCCGAAACACTTTTACCTGAATTAAATTGTTTATCGTAAAAACTAACAATTTATTTCATTGACGTTGGTTGTTTGCCTCCAATTTCCAACATGGAATTAAATTCTTTTCATTTATATTTGTCCTTTCACTTGTAATTTGTCATAATCGTTGCAAACAAACGATATTAAAGTACCTAATCACCTTTAGTGTCCTCGGTTTGACTATAAATGGTTAACTACTAACATGGACAAATTTGGATAATATAACTATTTAAAAAAAGTTCACTTTGTTACATAATATAAAAAGTTCAAACAGCATTTTCACTTTGCATTCGTATGTCACATTAAAGATGACAATACAAATTTATTATAGAAGGTTGGAAATTGTTTTAAAAAGTACCACATTTTAGAAGATTACAAAAATTAAATCTTACTATAATAATAATAAATAAAATAAATATAAAACGTTGAATTTTACCGCTGTAAATTACTTTAATTCATTTTCCTAAAAATAAATACAAGTTTACACTCAACAACATTGAAACTAAATCGAGTGCAAACAGTTAATAAAGGAGCAAGCGTTTACTATTATTCACGCAGAAAATTTGTCTTAACTGGTCAACTACTGGTGCTTTTACCTTATTCCCTTCCATAATGAATAGAAGTAATAGCCGCCGGTATTAGCTACGTGTTTTTATTCCGCCAAGCCGGTAGGTACTCTGTTAACAGTTATTGTACCAGGGAAAGTATACGTTATTAGAAAAGAGGATGAATTGTGACTTTCGTTGTATGTGTTCGCTTACGTCTGGACTTACGGCTGTGATTGAATTCATGTAACAGTTTTCCTTTTCATTTTAACGAGAGATCATACGTTTCGATAGTATTATGGAATCGGGTAATGTAATGGAATGCATGTATTTCCATAACTATAAAATAATGTTAATGGAAGATATGAATCTTCTTTAAATTCAGATCGTCAAGTAGATAATTATGGGTGTTAATTTGTAGACTAATTTAGAAACTCGTTTAACTTACACTAATTCGTTCGTTGTGTTACAAATATGAATGTGAAAATGATTTTTTAAGAAATGTTTAATATATTTAATATTGTTTCCATATTGAGAACAAAAATATTTTATATTTGTAAAATTACAATCTTTTTTTATAAAACTAAATTCTTATTAAACACATTTGTGTATGGGTTCATATAAATTAAAAACATTTTAGGGTACAATGATTAAGAAACTGAAGGTTTGTACATTAAATAGATATTACAAAGAGTTTATTATAGTTGCTAGTTGTTTCCAACTACATACCGAGTTTTCTAGGTAATATAAATTATTATTAAACTCACCTGATATGGCGCAGGTAGATAAATGCCACTATTCAAAGAAAGTAAGAAGACGCATTTAACCAAGAGAGCCGCAAATACAAGAGTAGCGGGTAAACCGACTAATCGAAATGCGGCGCAGGATATGAGGTTTTGACTGAGGGATGCTGCTGCTGAGAGGCCTGCCAAGAGGAAAAGACCTAGGAGAAGCGCTTGTCCCAAAAATAAATGTCGTCTATTTGGCGCGGTTACTCTTGCCTGAAAAATAACAAATTTTTTATGATTAGCATACGTGTGTGATACTTTATTTAACCAATTAACTGCGTTTGACGAATATACAGGTTATCTAAAAGCTTGAAATGATACTAATTCTTTCAACGATGAATTCTTTATTTTTTCAGATAACCATGTAATTCTTCGTTTTGCTTTGGTTTTTCATTCAAATATACTCTAAGTGCAGTCGTCCTGCGTTTGACGAGTACACATTTCATTTTTTGATTTTATTGCGTGCAGAACGAATGATTTTTCAAATTAAATTTCACAGTTAACAGGTTAAAGAAATACAATTCTGGTGCTATTCATGAATGAACAAAAGATATATATAATAAAAGATGTATTAGTATTCAACATTTGGTTCCTGATTAATATTTTTTATAAATTTTTAAAACTACTATTACAGATTAATATTAACTTTGGCAGAAAAATATTAATTAAACGAACCGACACGGAGACTTCAAAAATTAATTACACATATATCACAACTAGAAAACGTTGTGCATATCTAAAGCAATGGAATAGAAAATTTAACGATGTTAAATGAAACTACCAGTTCGTTAATAGTTTTCAACGTTCTCGTCTATATATGGAAATGGAAAAATGAACAAAAATGTACAAGGGTAGCTAGGTACTTTCTTCAGTGCCTGTAAATGATAGGTTACTTCCTGCGTTGACTATTTCATTTACACGATATTTTTTTTAAATAATAATCATTTTAACGTTCACAAACTCATTTGTAAAATGAACTAAAGATCACACTTTCACTTAATAAGAATGTGATTTTATACGTATTGTATTTGTAATTATAATTTCTTGGAGAAATTATTTCAAAGAATATATTGTGTGTCCTTGATCGTAAAAGAATTTTTGGAACAAATTTTTGTTCATCCTGTTTATTAAACAATAATTGTTTTGATTGCATTTTTCTATTACGTACTTTTTACTTAAGAATTATATATTAGAAAAATACTCAGAAATTTATATTTACTGTGTACCAATATTATGAGAAAATTTATCATTAAATTCCTATAAAATATATAGTTCTTTTCATTAAGGTTGTTCTTGTTTCTGATATTATCGTAAAATATGTATACAAATCTTTAATTGTTTACTTAGCGCTGTAAAGATAAAACTACATTGAAGTAAATTTTTGAGGACATATTAATTCAAGGATACAAACTCTATGAAAGATATATTTATCGAATATGCATGTGTGTGAAGCACAACGAAACAAATCAATTTTTTTACTTAAAAAACACTGTAATTGAATAATTAAATGTTCCTTATTTCTAAATTTTATAAACTATTGCTTAAAATATAAATTTGTAACATTGTCGCATAGAGTGTCTGTTTTTAAGTTTTTCTCATTGAATACAGAGAAATAAATTCAGGAAATGGATAAACATAAATTAATAAAAATTTTATTAAAAAAATGGTTTTCTCATTCGATATACTATGAATTTAACTGTAACGTAATATAACTTTATTGATTAAAGAGAAATTTTAAAGTGTGTATAAGTATTGTATTAAAGAAACTCCAGTATTATGTTACACGCGAGTTCATCTGCATGCTCTAATTTTTCTTTCTTCAGTGAAGGAAACCTGAATATGGCAATCAGAAAGTATTTCATTGTAAACTTCAAGGCTGACTCTCAGTCTTATTTGCAGTTTTGTATCTCACTAATTTTTAACACATCAATAATATCTAATGAGAATCATCACGTATTAAATTGTCAAGATGTAATTGATGCGTAATTAAAGAATAAATCGTTCCACGCAGCGCTTAAATAATTTGAAGTAATTGCATATATTAATTTCTCTAATCAGAATGTATAATTGCACCTTTATTCAATTCATCTGACTTATTAATTATTTTCATGGTTAGATTTATCACACAAATTTCTCCTTATGGAAACGACAATGTTCTGTTTATTTTTATTATAGATGGAATTCTTGTCTTTAATATTCAACAATACATAATTCTAAACATAATAGTTCATAACTTTGTAATAAAATTATGTTATGTGTTGAATATATATTAAACATTCTACTTTCATAGTTTATTACTCTCATTTAAAATATTTCTTCACCAAACAATTATATAATTGTTATTAGAATCATTAAGTCAAACCAAAACTATTACCAGTACGTATTTAGATATCACATTACTGTAAAGGTTGAAACTAAGTTATCTTAAATATTTTATTTCATTCTGATTAAATTCATAAAGAAAACTTGCATTGCAGTACATTAAAATATTAAACTAATACAAGAGCTTTATCATATTTGCCAGTCACACTGAAAAGTTACATAATTTTAAAATAAATTTTGGAAAAAAAGTAATTATAAAAACAATCAATAACATCTATTATAAATGGTCCCTTTTTCCCAAAATAAATAAAGTAACCAGTAATTTTAAATAAATTAATAAACAGTCTAAACAAAACAATGTTTATCACTAAAATAAACAAATTAAACTACGAATATAAACATGAAATTTATAAAAAAAAGTTAATTCTATAAATTGTGTGTTACTGATAAATTATTGAAATATACAAACAAAATTATGTAAAGTAAACTGTCGAACATTTTCGACAAAGTTTTTGCACCGATCTATTAGAATAATGATTGCCTACTGTGTCATAGAATTGCTGAGAACAAAACCTGTTCCTCTTCCTTCGTTAATTACAAAAACATCGACATTTATACTTCCCCAATAAAAGAAATAACCGCGATTGTACTTTGTATATTTTAAATAAAAACTGAAGGAATTTAGTTTTAAAGCGTTGGGTAATGTAACGGTAGACATTATGAGCGACATAAATATCGAGTTCGGTATCGAAGACTTTCCTGGCAGCTCTTGTTCAATGGAGTGTATCGATACGAGCAGACGACACGGGAAAGAGAAATAGGCAATCGACATGCAAACTAGGCCTAGGTCTCGGCGAAATTGCGAGCGTGCTAGTTATTGGAGCTTGTCGAGATACGAACGAAAACAATTACCATGGGCTCCTGTTCACGTTGCCACGTGCTCTCAAGAGAAAAAGAGAGAAAAATTCTTTTCTAAGCTCTATTTAACTCAACGCTTCCTCAAATCTCTATTAACCAATAATTGTACGACCGCGAAAATCGGTTTCGTATCATTGAACACGATAGACTCGGCCGGCAATATGCTATTCCAGCTTTTTCAGGATCTGCTTCCAAGAAATTTCCCCCGCGTTTATCTTCCGGAAATCTACTAATCGACCTGTATATTAAATTTTATAACGGCCATCCTAGCTGAATTCGAAAATAATCTTGTGCATGGGCTCGGTGTCGCACTACCGCGTATATCGGTGAAATTTGCTTTGCACCATTAAAAGGAACTCATTTCGAAGTTTCTTTACCTTTTAAACACGGTTCTTAGATGATGGAAGGATAGAAGCAAATAGAAAACCGGGAAGCCTTTTTGTAACGTTGAAGCGTTCAAACGCAAAAATCTCGTAAATATAAGAAGAAATTAATGAATCTTATGTTCTTTATTTATTATTACTAGGAATTATAAAAAGTTATAGAAAATTATAGAAATAATTTTTTTCTCTTAAAATAACGAAACAAATTCATAAATAATATTTCACTGTTATACGTCAATAAATTTAATAATCAATAATACGAATTAACTATAAACATAACTACTTTCAATGTTTCATCTACTCTTCAACTAACAAATATTTACTAAATTTATTAAGAAACTTCAAAATATTTCAACAACCATCGAAACCCAAAGTTGCCCGCTCGAATCTCGAAAATTACGATTAACCGGTCGAACAAACGAAATAAACGACAAAAGTCCCACAGATTATAACCACTGCATCGCTTCATTACCCTCGGCAATAAATTTATTTATAATCCCGAATCCACCCGTACTTTCGCCCGGCATAAAATCCGCCCGGGAAACACGCGAACGCGATGGTTATTTTAATTTTCATTCAGCCGAAAGGCTCATTAAAACATCTCCGTTCGTGTCAAGCGACTCAGCAAAACATACGCAACGCGAAATTCTCGTAGATCATTATCGATTATTGTATTATTTCATTACCCGGAGAGCAGTAAACATATTTATAACTTCGAATCTTCCTTTAGCCACGAGTCGGACTCGTTATAAGATCAGTTTGGAAAATGGTGTCGTAAAGGTAAACGAACCGACCTTGAGCAGTACGAAAACCTCGAAGCCAGCCATGAGGAGCATCGTGGCTGCGCTAAGGGCCGCCAGAGGAAGAGCCCAGGGTCGTTGTCTGAGCAAGGACCTCGGGTACGGTTGAGTATCGGCCTCGATCTCCGGGCTCTTTTTTCCAGGGGGCAGCCTGGACACCGAAACCGTCCTGTTCGGCGCTGGAACACTGATGACACTCGCCACGCTGGCCAAACCGTTCTTGTCCATCGCCGCGTCGCTAGGTACCAGGAAGAATTCCGTGGACAACTCGAAGTCCTTCGGTGGCTGGGCCCGTATCGCCGTAGTTCCGGTTGGACCGAGCCAGCTCGCCGTGGCCCACGACAGGATAATCGGACTCAGTCTCATCGCGTCATCCGTGCTTCCGTGGTTATATATTGCTCTACGGCGTTTTCCACCTCGTTTTTTCCTTGCTTCTTCCTTTTTTTCCTTCCTCTGTTTAAATCCAAGCTTCTGTAACGTCACCGGGACATGCACCGTTTCCTGCGTAAGCGCATCCTTATGCGCCCGCTTCCCCTTTACTCCGAGGAATCGCACACCTGCAATCACGTTTCGTCTCGGTAATTAATCCTCGCCTGGTCCATTTCGTTCGTTTCACTGCCAGGTAAAAGTGAACATCCCGGGCATGTTGACACGTGTCCGGTGGCATCTAACGTGGCGAAAATTCGAAAAAGAAGGATTCTTTCGGAAAATCCTTTTGCGCGCGGAAACCACTACGCGCGAGAACGTTTCTAGTCAGAGGCTATTGATTTATACTCGTGGTGTTTCTCGAATACAAGTGAAAAGATTTTTAAACGGACTTTCTCTCGATAAAGGATTCGAATGTATTTCTTTTGTTTTTGGCTCGATACGTTCTTTACAGGCTAACACGCGTCCCGAAATAATCCTGCTTTGTCTCATGACGATACCACGTTGAAAATTGTATAATATATCGATCGCGCGAGCGGCTCAACATATAATTTTCTTGTCGTTTAACTGATTTCATGGTCGAAGTGAAAACGCGGCATGCTACTTGCTGGCGGAGTGTAACGGCGGAAACGAGGCTGAGACAGGAGGGAAAAGCTTTTGAAAAATTTCAGCGCCGGACTCAGCCAAATAAACCGCATGCTATTCTCTGCGAGAGCCAAGCATGACCAGTCCGCAGGCATTCATGGAGTCTAACACCATTAATTATTATGAACAGGGTCAGCCGTAAGTAGAGTGAAGCGTGAACCGAGTAAAACCGGAGTAAAACTGTAAAGACAGGTATCGCGGCGTGCAGCTTATCGTACGCAAATATAATATTAGAACTAAAGGCGGTGGTTAATGAAATGTTTAATCACAGTTGCAACTGGACCTGTGAAACGTGGATCATCCTCTGCCTTCGATATCCCGACGACACTGCTTCCCCCACATTTCTTATCCGCGCGACGTTGTCCGAAAACCTGTTGATTCCTCCTCCCGAATTCAACGGAGATGCACTGGGTGTCGTGGAATCAATTAAGACACTGCGCCCGAAAACTGTGGAGCAGGTATATACTCGACGCTCCCGAATACTCGAATTCCTAGGGGAACGATTTTCGACGCCGGCAACTCGGACGAACGAAGGTCAACGTACACCACGCGAGATGTATCAAAATCTTGGACGGCCGAGACGGTTTTCTGTCAATTCGCGGTGCGGCTCGCCGACGAGACAAGTTAATGGAGTGGTCACGAAGCGCGTGTTAGGGGAGCCGAACGCCGACTAAACCAACGAGCATTCTCCAGAGAGAAACTGGAAGCAGACTGGAGTTCCGTTCTGGAGGTGAAGCCTATCCGTTACGGAGGAGCCAGGGAGATGGTGATGACGATGCCGAGGTGGTAGTGGCATACATCAGGAGCGGATCCACGCAATTCTTAGAAGAGGATTCTCTTTTTCCGCCGAATTTGGTAAACCGAGATCGACGAACGAAGTAGAACTTTTATCTGTTGCGTCGAGCTGCGGAGATTTTATTGTTATTGCCACTCTTTTTTGTTAATCAATATTTCGAATAATAGAAAAATTGTGTAAAATGAAAGGGTAATTAATTTTGAAATATGTTGAATGGAGTATGATAGGACAAATAAAATAGCAGTAATAAAGAGAATGATTAATTTGGATACTTTTTTTTGATTAGAAATTAGAAAAGGTAAAATAAAAATGTGGAAGAACTATTTATTGCTTTTCGTTTTAGAAGTAATTATTATTACAGTTATGGCTATCAAGTGTTATATTAACTATTTAAAATGATGTTTTTAGGTTACTTTTATTGTATACTATGTTCCTGTAATAAACGTTTCAATGTACCTTATTTCTATCTTATTGTCTTTTTCCAATATTTTAATTTCTCGTTTGTGCATATTACAGGTTTATCCAAAAATACATCGAATTGTACTGATTTTTTCATTATATAACAATGAAACACTCACTAGATATCAGCGTAATGTATCAAAATCGAAAACAGAATACCATTCAGGGAAAAGAAATAGTCGATTGTCGTCGTTTTTTTATTGCAGCTCGGATCTAACAATTTGCACAATTCCCTGTTAATTGTTCTGTTCCCTAACTTTTGTCGGCGGTTCATTTGTTTCCTACGAATTCCAATTAATTCGTAATTATTCCGGACGAGTCTATTTTATCGAGACGTTTCCAATCTGATCCGCCCCTGCCAAGATGAGAGAAGGAGCAGAGTGGAATAAAAGAGAAATAGAGAGTAGGATTGGAATGAAAGAAAGAAAAAGCGAGAAGCTGGTCCTCCGACATCGAAGACCGGACCCGGCGACGCATTTACATATCGTACGTGTAATAACATCGAAAAAGGTTTAACAATGGTCCGAGAGGTCCGCCTCGGCCGCGAAGAAGTGGTAAAAGGGAGAAAAGAACCCGAAGGATGAGGATCGATTGAAGAAACGTTTAACAAGCTTCTTTGGACTTTGAGCAATGAGACATCGGAAACATCCTCGCGGAATTACTTTCTGTAGGTGGAATCGAATAACAATAACGAAAGAGACGAGATCTTGACGTCTGAGGAGAGATACATTCAATGAATAATTTTTGCCTGAGTACAATTTTCGTTCCTCTAAAGATAGAATCGAGAATCATTCGAGTAAAATATTTTAAGATCGATTGTTCGTGTAAAATATTGTCTGCTTTCCTTGTCAAATGATTTCAAATATTCATCACATCAACTTACCTTGACAAGCATGTAATTTGTTTTTAAATGACTTATTTTGTTGGAAGTTCAGTGATTTATTATTTTATTTTGTATCTAAAGAGACATATTTAAATAAGTACCTTTGAAAATTATGTCGCGATCGTTTTTGAGCTGTTTATGGTCAACGAATAGTAAATTAGAGTTTAACATCTTTTTTTCAAGCTCAATACACAATAATTCGATGTATTTGTTTGTTATATTTTTAATGAGTATAAATGTACATAGATAAAAGTCTATTGTTAAATTTACAATTTATTACTTAGTTGGTGTTTTGTTTTATCTCAAAATGCAGAAAAAGATTTGTTTTTAAATATAATACATTGTCATTAATATTTTCTATAGTTAATTTAATACTATAGTGATGCTTTTCGTTTAACGGAATTAATGTTGATGTACTATAGTCAAAATCATAATAATCGGTAATTATTGAGAATGTGCAACAATTACACTCTATTGTACTACAGTTTATATGTAAAATAAAACCTACAATTAAAATTATCCATTATCACTGTTTCAAATATAGAAGTTCAGTAAATATATGCCAGTTCCTAAATATGTCCAAAAAAACATAATTGACTGGAAAATTATTTTTCCACGTGGCTTTCGGAAAAAAATCATTAAATTTAATGATAAGAGGTCTAACAATTGTATATTACATTAAAAATAGAAATTTAATTTTTATCAAATAAGAACAAAAGTCACTGAAATAATACATAAAATTGCACAATATTTGAGAGAAAATATTTTAATAGAAATAAGCCATTAAAGATTAAAATCTATCTATAAAAATAATTAATAGAAATATTGACAAATTTAAAAAGAAAATTCATTTGAATCTATATAAATTCATATAAATAATCAAAAAATTAAAACAGTAACATATATAAATTAAACGTCAAAAAGACATTTTTCAAATATTGCCAAAAA